GAGTCCTAGTTCGTTTACGACGATCAGCATAAAACGAACTTCTCCTCTCTGGGATCATGTTCAATACATAAATGTATTAGTCCAACTAATCAGTCAAGAAAAATTGTATCGTTGTCACTACAACCGTTCAGATGGGGTGTTCATTTAGGTTGTGAACCACAATTATTGTTTCGCAAGTGACTGATAGATTGATCTTCGGTTCGCCCGAGGACAACCCATTCTATCTAAGTTCAAAACAACGGAACATAGAACTTGTTTAATCTAAGATGAATCTCATTCATAAAGGGAAAAAGTGTAATATCATCCAAAGTCAAGCTTTCAGTATATAAAACTAACACGGAACTCCTCCATGACCCGCGAAATTTTCAGAGGCTCCCAGGCCCCAAGACCCACGACCCGCAGGTTGTCACGATCAGATTTTCAAACTCGAGTTTTTGAACTGTTTTTAGAGCCATACCTATGGAATTTCATGCCCAACCCTATGGGGACCACTCCATATCTCTTGGAGACGAAAAAACAGCCCGAGGCCTTGAAAATGGCTCCAAAAAACACAAAAAACCACTTGTAATTTCTCCTTTTTTTTCTTTTACTTATGCTTGAATTATTGAAGCCTTTTGGATTGGGATTGAACTATTGCATCTCTTGGTAATTGTATATGTTTCAATTCTTGTTTATTGTTGTTGATTGAATGAGATTTCTTTTTGTTTAACTGACATGAATTTGAGTCCAGGAATGAGACAATTCATCCACCTAAGGATAGGGATTTCGATTCTTATCTTGAATTGTGTTGAATGTATATGTTCATTTTATGTGTGTTACTCAATTTTTAAGGGTTAATTGATTGATCACTTGCTAGGTAAATGACTTGTAGAACTGACATGGGAGTAGCCGTTGAACCTAGGCTCGTATGAGATGGACGTGTTCTTCTAATCTAATCAAACAAGTTTTAGAACCGAAAGGGAAGGTGTTGTTTGACCTAGGCCCGTATATAGTAGACTTGTTCATAAAAGTATTGTCTATATGTTATTTGATTGAATGAGTTTGTAGTTTATGTATGTGCTCTTGTTACGAATAGTTAGTGAGCATAAACGTTCTAGATATGTACGCTTGTTGAATCACGTAATCGAACAAATAAGCGTTCAACATATGTTTAGGACTTGATAAGATTTTTCAACACTCTAGAACTTCTGCTACTTCTTTAGTTATTTTATTGTTAATTAATTGTTTTAGTAGTCTTTAGATAAGTCATTCAAAACCCAATCTTGATTTGAATGTTTAGGATTTATTTTGCTTTTGTATGTGATCGACATTGAATCTAGATTACGAACTACCTTTTTCGAGAGATCGACCGAGGTCGAGACTCATCCCGTACTCAGTAAAAAACATAATTTGCTACAACAAGGGTTGATACCCTTCATACTAGGAAGTACCCAAAGATCGTTAGATATTTTTTTTATTATGTCAATTCGTCTCTCTTGAGTGATTTTGTCCGAGGTGTGTCTTTGTTATCGCTGGTCTGAAGGTGAGTCGGTGAGGCTTTTGATGACGATAAGTGCCACGATGATGTAGGTGTCCCAAGGCAACGACTGACCTTGATGGTTAATCTCTCAATGCTGAGGTTACTCATAGAGATCTCCCCTATCAGGCCCCCAACTTCTCGTCATGGCCCAACTTGGCGATCCGAACTCCAGACAGTCATGATCAAAAACAAGAAAGTGACTGCGTATAGAGGTAACCTGATCACCGTGTCAGACGATGCGATCTAAAGGCGGGACTGTGATGAAATCACAAAGGGAAGAACTTCCTAGATCCACCCTTAAATCGTCTAGCTACTCTGTAGTCGTTATTATTTAAGGATCTATTACTCCATCTACTGAACGTTCTTGTCGAGAGTGAACTAATGGATCTGTATTCTTGTCGAATTTGGGCTAACGTAGAGGTTGTGTGTGAGTTTTTGGTCGGATAATATGGTGAGAGGATGCAAATGTTAGTATTTGAAACGTTTATTTGTGGGTGTCTGTACGGACAAACAAAATGGATAAGAGGACTTGTTTTGAGGGTCGGTTGTGTCGCCTTTCCTTTTGAATAAAATAACATGGTAAAAGAGGTCATTTGGAGATTTGGCAGCGACTTAAGCCAACGGTATTGTTTTGACAATGTCTTGGTGGCTATGATACATTTTTATAAAATGAGAACGGAAAGATTCACCAAAACCCTGACTTGTTTTGAGGGTCGGTTGTGTCGCCTTTCCTTTTGAACAAAATAACATGGTAAAAGAGGTCATTTGGAGATTTGGCAGCGACTTAAGCCTGCGGTATTGTTTTGACAATGTCTTGGTGGCTATGATACATTTTTATAAAATGAGAACGGAAAGATTCACCAAAAGCCTTCAATGAGCTATTCTTTTAGCGCCAAACTATTGACACTTAATATCAACCACAACAAAGGTGGCAAATTTTAGGTGTAATTATGGAGTTAGATGTAACAGTATGCATGTTAGCAAGAATAATGGAAGAGTATCAAAACCAGTGTTTTAGAAGTCACTAGACGCCCGCTAGGCTCCCGAACATTGCCTAGTGCGTAGAGCGCTTAGGCAAGGCCTATAAATTATGATTAAATACTTTATTATTTTATTTATTTTCACTAAATAAAAAATACAGCTATCCCAACTTATGATAAATCCACATACCTAAGTTCAAAGTATAATATATTATAAAGAAAACATGATAACAAAATAATATAATTAGTATTTATAAAAAAACAAAACTAAAAAATCGTTACCGAGCCCCCCTAGGCCGCCTAGATGCCACCAAGCTGCCTAACCGATTTTTTCAGCCGCAAATCGAAGGCGGTCAGCCGCGCCTAGTGCCTAGGCTACCGCCTAGGCCAATTTCTAGTACACCGATCAATACCAATTAATTGCTTATGATAAGGATTAAACATAAAAATAGGTTAATATACATGTAAGAGAGACTGTCAAACAATAAAAGCAGATCGAAAAAACGAGTAATATAATGGAAATTATGTGTATGAAAAAGTATTGTTTCACCTTTCCTTTGTATTATTATTATTATTTTATTTTATTTTATTTTTTTGTATCTTTTCTTAAGCCTCGAAAGTTGTATATTTATACACGAAAAAAGTAGGAAAATAATGATGATCATGAGCCAACTAAGGGTGTGACTGAGTGACATTTGACTTCATGCAAAAACTCTACTTTTTATGATGGGACCAGTAGGACAGTCACTTTGCCGATTTTCTTTACCCGTTTCTATTCACACTCTGTAGAAATATCGACAAAAGGTGTTAGCTTGCAAATCGATGCCCAAGTTAACTGGGACCAACACTGGATTGGCTATACATGTTCTTGGGCTATTCTTGTATGATTTTTGCCTGAATTGACATAAGCTCAATTCCAATGTGGGCTACAAGTTGCAGATTCTATGGCCGATTTAGAAACTTCTATGCACAACAATTCTAAATTCTAAAAAGAAAAAAAAAAAAATATTTTGCATACTAATATAGCTTGAATAGACTGGTTATAACGGATCGACCAAGTTTTAAGATAAGTTACCTAAGACGAGTCAAGTCGAGGAAGCAACTCACACAGGTCTCAAGACTCGCCTCTAATAAAGGATTAACAAATCAGTGAGTTTCCCCCACAACGGTGAGTATCTTGAAGTCGACCCCAAGCCTTCAACATCTCGAGGTCGACTTTCTATATCACCGCGATAAAGATGACTTTAGCAAGTCGATTTCTATAACTATAACTAGAAGTCGACATCCTCAAGACGACTCCTTTAACTGCCCAACTCGGGGTCGACTTAGTACTCTAAGAAGATGAGAATGAGTGAAGGACGAGTAGTAGAAACCCCTGAAGTATTTCATCTGCATGACTCCAAGTTGACCTCTTGCTACTCGAGGTCGACTCCTTACGCTTCAAGCCTCGAGATGCGCGACGACTCAGGAGGCTATACATTCAACATGCCTAATGGATAAGAACTGATCTCTATAGGATAAGATGAAATCTTAAGCTGACTCATACCTGACTAAGAGACAATTAGGACACACATAGACCGGGTAAATATGCCTGTCGACCAGGGGCATTATGGGTATTTCAAGCACGTATTTTCCTCTATAAAAGGAACTGAGGTAACACCAAACCCTAACTTCTACATTCCCTACACATTTTCATATGCTGCTGCTGCTCTCTGTAGCTCATCTTCTCGCTTCTTGTTACTAACTTAAAAATCGGAGGCTCTACGCCGAAAATCCCTCCGACGTTGAGTTCTTGCAGGTGTTCGTGGCGATTCAAAGAAGGTTCAGGCAGATCGAAACTCATCTCAACCTATTATGTCTAGATCTTAGCAGAACCCCATCACATACCATCATTTAAAATTAGTCGATTAAATCTGTTGAAAAAATCCATAAAAAATGTAAAAGGATATGATTTGATTCTAATATTAAAAAAAAAAGCAGTTTGAAAAAATCTTTAATTAATAAGACAATAACTTTTAACAAGAACTTATATTAAATTTACCATCAACCTCTTATTTTAAATTTGCCACTAACCTCTCTTCATTGTTTCTCACTTATTATTGTATTTCAAATTTTCAATTTGATATATATATTTTGATATATATAAAATAAAGGGAGATGCTACGCTTCCGTTACAGAATAATTCTGTCAGGGTTTGGAACTGTTAGATTATGATGATCTAACAGTTTCAAACTCCAACCGATTCCGCAACGGAGAGTAGCATTTCCCTTAAATCAATTTCAAGGTATTTCATATTTTCGCCGACGCAAGCGCTTTGTTGTTAACAATAAATTCAAAGAGAAAAAAATAATTCCTCGACCGCTTTAAACTCTCGTGTCCAACGTGGGTTTCTCAAGAAACACATATACTAGCGACTGTAGAGTAAATCCCTCTCCAAACAAGAAAAGTCCTACTAAAGATTGGATCGCCGGCACGGAGGCGCCCTCCGTTAGTGGCTTTCGATGGCGGCGTTGAAAGTCTTCGCGTTCACTGTATTCCTTTCCCTAATTGTCGCCCGTATCGGAGTTAACGCTGATGCCTCAATCTCAGACTTCGATAACGAGGTCAAAGGCCCCAGATCGGAGGGTCCTGATTCATCCATCCTGGAGCAGTTCAAGTCCAAGATCCATAGTCTCGGTTAGTATGGGTTTAAAGTTCCAGGTCTGATTGAGGAAGATTGTTTCGCTGATTAATTGTTAATTTTATCGTTTTAGTGCAGAGTTGTATAGTGATATGCCTTCAAGAACAGATTTTGAGTGCTAATTTGAGTTTATTTTAAGAAACCAAGTAATTGCTCGTATGAGTGACTAGTTTTCCAAACTAAGTCGTTGAGCATGTTGCTGCACTGTATGTGACTGTGTATATGCATATGACATTTGGACTAATGTAAGGTGATACAATGTTTATTTGCTGATTTAGAAATTGTTTTTCTGTCTGAGTCACACTTCAGTTTCTCCATTGATTGAGTGGATAATTTGATTCTAAACTGATATAAAACTAGCGAGTAGAATTTACTTTTTTTGCTTTTGGGTGTATAGTTATGCTTGATATCCTTCTTGTTTGGGATTCTACTACGGAAAATGTCATTTCTGTGTCTTTGGTGGGAGAAGTGAATTTGAACCTTGATTGTTTCAGTTGCTTTCTTAGGCAGTAATGGTTTCCCCGGTTCTCCTACATTTCTTCAATTGTTTTTATTTTGTCAATATATGTAGAATCACATGTCGAGGAGAAAATTCGAGAACTAAAAGACAAAGACGAATTGATTGATGCTAAAGAGAAGATAATCGAAGAAAAATCAGATAGTATTGCATCACTGGAGAATGAGATTGCCTCTCTACAAGTGAGTGATTGGGATCTCGAAATGATAAGAAGTTGTAAAAACTTTTATGTATATACATTAACTATTTTGATGCTTTTATGTCACATATATTCAAGTCTGTATTGTTTGTTTCTTAGAGAAAGGGCAAATCAGATGCTGCAGAACAGGTGGGAAAGGCACACGCAAGAGCCGGTGTATTGGAAAAAGAAGTGGAGAGACTGAGAAAAGACATTGATTTGAAAATCAAGGAAATAGAGCTATTGCAGACCGGGGTAAGAGAAGCTGAAAGAAAGGGTTCTGATCTGAATTCTAAATTTGACAGAGTAAGTCACTTCCTTGAGCCAAATTACTTGTTTTGTAAAGTTGTGACCATGATGTCGACTTTCATGAATTTTATTTCATATAGTGAGCCTCAGTAATGGCATATTCAGTTGATTCTCCCTATGGGTGGTTCTTTAAATACTTTATTCACGTGAGATCAATGAGATGCTTGCAGTTTTGAGTCACGTAGATCTTTTGTTCTTGTTATTCTTGATAGAATTCATTTGTGGCTGCCTTGTAGTTTATTTTGTTTGTGACTTCAACGACTTAAATAAGGGCTTGATGTTTGTTTCTATTTGGATCTGATCTGCTTTTTGCTGGTCTGATTGATTTAATTGAATCACTTCTCCTTTCTGGAGGATGTTCATTTCCTATGTTGATATTCATTAGCTGACATGGGTGTTATTGTCCCCTGTTTTTATTATACAGCTTCAAAAGATCATTGATGATCAGAAAACTAAGATACGGAAAACTGAACGTGCTCTTCAAATCGCCGAGGTATTTTATTAATGATTTCAAATGTTATCAGTTGTTACATAGACTTTTCACTGTTTGTCATGATAGTTCAATTGTCTTTCCTGTATGACATCCTATTATTTATCGTTCCGTGTATGAAATCCTATTTAGGAAGAAATGATGAAGGCAAAGTTTGAAGCAACATCCAAGATCAAGGAGTTGATGGAGGTATAGTTATGTTCTTTTCTTATTACTTTCCTCTGCTCATGCTGCGAATGTCAATGATTTGATGCAAGTATCATTGTAATTTCTGTTGTCTGAATCATTGTTATCAACTGCGGTATCATCTGCAGTAGATGGCTTTAGCTTAATTGATATCTTTTGGCATCAATATGGAGAGGGCTCACCTTTCCTGTCCCTGCATTAGATGGAAAAACTTGTTATGGATCTTCTTTGTTTCTTGATTAATGTTTGTGTTTCAGAGCAACGGAGAATTTTGCAATTTACACAACCTTGAAAAGAACTAATAGTGATCCATTTGTGCTGTTACTAATATTCTCAAGAAGTTGCTTGAATGGTATCTATTTGGTCTGTTACCAATATACAAAAGAATTTGCTCGCTGTGTATTGTTCGGCGAGCTACAAGAAAAATTCCCGCCGCTACCGCGGTAGCGGCATGTATTAGAGCCAAAATAGGATCACTTTTGATGAATATCATCATGAAGTATCTTATTGCTTTATATTATTCTTTTTTTGTAATATGATCAGGTTCGTGGTGCTTGGCTTCCTCCTTGGCTAGCATTTCATATCAATAACTATCAGGTATGGTGTATAAATGCTTGCTGCACACTTACACGCATATATAATCGTATTTTGAAGGCTTCAGTATATTTATTAGGTTGTATTTGTGTTCTCAGTCTCTTCTAGAGAAAAACTGGGAAGTGCATGGAAAACCTGCTCTGGAGAAGTTGATACAGAAGGCAAGTGTTTGAGGCTTATGTGAACTGTCACGTCACATGGTTCTCTATAAGATTATGATTTACTGATGTGCATCTATCATTTCTTTCCCTGTAATAGGCTGTTGAAAAGAAAGCCCAAGCTGAAGAGTGGGCTGCACCACATGTAGAAACTTTTAAAACTGTAAGTCAGCTACACACAGAGCTAGCCGAGTTTTTTTTGTTGTTAGTACTTGATTCACTTGAGTCAATTGATGCGGGAAAGGGAAGTTAGAGTTTTTATTTGATAGTGCTTCACTGAAGCTTGGTTTCATATGCCGAAAATAAAGATCGTGGTATTCCATTTCTTTGTTTTTATTTATTCTTTTCCATCTTTATGTTTTTTGCACGTCCTGTATGAAGAAATGGGTACCAGCTGTTCAGGAACAGTGGGTTGTGATAACCACTAAAGTTGAACCGCATGTTCAAACTTTGACAACTAGGGCTGTTGAGTTATACAAAGTATCAAAGGATGCTGCAACTCCTCACATCATTAAAGTTCAGGAAGTTGCAGAACCTTATTTTCAGGTAAGCTGCCTATTGGTCTACATCTATTCATTTACCTTCTTATCTCCGCGCTAGCTGATTGAATCTATGACCTTTAAGGAACTGAGGAAACATAGTAAACCATACATCGATCAGGTTGCCACAGCTGCAAGACCTCATGTTGATAAATTACGCACTGTTTTAAAGCCGTATACGCAGCAGGTGGTTCATGCTTATGGAAAGTTCCTTGAGTCTTCAACTATATATCATTCTCAGGTATGATACTGACTTTGCTCCCATTTATTTTGTTCATATGTAAAGTCAATTATTTCATTGGTAGCAAACAGGTGGATAGGAGCATGGTTTGGGAATGCACCATTTTGCCCATTAAATTTTATTTTTCCATTCAAAGGGGACCTCATTGTGAGTGTTCTTATGTCACAGTAATAACTGTCATAATTATGTAATACACAAAAGAATAGAAAGTGCTGATTTCTGCTGAAGATTAAGCATTTAGTTTCATTTTCCAGTTGACTAAAGTAGTAATGTAGATTAACATGATGGTTTGTGGGCATTATTGTGGAAAGGTCGTTTTATGATGACTGACCTTAGGACAAACTGGGTGTGTTATAGAATATAGATTACATGTATCAGTTGAGGGAATGTGCATTAGTTGTATTTCCTCAACCATTGAATGAAGTACATCGGAGCCATTTTCATACGCAAGATTTCCTTATCATGCTAGATGTTGGAAGCCTGAATACTTGTGACAATTTACCTGGAACCATTTAAAACTTGCAGTTTATTTTTCTCAATTCTTTAGTCCCCCTTTTCTCTAGTAAGGGGTACAGAAGCTCTATGATGGTGACAAGTGGGCGTGTGAGGAATGTAGGAAGTGAAAATTAATGCTCATATGATAACTTCTGAATTGCTTGATCGTATTGGCATCTCTCAACTAGCATTAGATCTTCCCAGAGTCCCTATAACCACAAGATAAATTCAAATTGATATACTACGAAGCCATGAGTAGAAGTAGTTCACCTAAAGGTTAATGCGTTTTGGAAAGATATTAACAGTGAATCATCACTGCTATCTGAAGGTAGGTTGTTTCCTGTCCACACTAATTGAGTTGTATCAAACACAATTTATCCATTAAAAACTGATTCCGAAGTAATGGCTTTTTTAGTTATTTTTAGCCTATAATTGTTTCATGATCTCAAAGTAATGTCTCTGATTAAGGTTCAAGATGTAGTTCACGAGAAACTGAAGAGTCACGAGCTCACAAGACATCTTGCGACGAAAGAGTTGGTTTGGTTTTCTGTAAGTTTGTTGAAAATATTTGCGGCCTTTCCTCTAAATTTTTTGTTGGTAAGATGGGATATATCCATTGCTTGTTGACCAACCTTCTGTTTTGTAGGCTTCTGCACTGCTGGCCTTGCCTATCATTTTTCTTCTGAAAATATTTTCAGCCACTTTCGGGTTAGTAATTTAGCATTTGGTAAAAATATACACGATCTTACCATTGGTACTTGAAAGTATTTAGCTTCCAATCCAGTTTTTGTAAGGTTTTCTTTATGTTGGTTTTTAGCAGCAGTAAAAAAAAGCCGAGAAAGCCTGTCAGAACTGGTAACGCACACAATACTCGTCGCAAAGGAAAACGTGTACACTCAGACAAATGAACCCAGTAAATGTTCTCTACTGTTCGTTCTTATCACAAGGTTAGCTTGTCAAACTACAGCATGTTTTTTGTGCAAGGATTATGTTCATGTCATAAATCCACATAGGTAGTTTCTCGTACTGAATTTTGTGTGTGAGAGTGCATTGTTTTACGTGTTCCTTTATCTGAATTGAAGGATAGTGTGGTCTTTTTTTTCATGGGTGGAGAGCTTAAGAGATCTGTGTGCTCAAAGTATGCTGTCCGTCTTCCGAGCGTTAGCACATGTTAGTTGTTATAGCACAAAAATATTAATGGTAACTGATAGATCACTGTAATTTTGTGGGTGCGTTTTCGTGTAGTTTTAAAAATTGATAGTTCGGGTGTTTATGTATCATGGCATTTGGTATCCACGTACTTTTCTGGTTTCTAGACTGTTGAAGCCTGGATTTGAGCAGCTCGTCAACTGCATTTAATTCCAAGTGCTCGTTTTTGTGGGCAAAAATATACATTTGATCGTTGTAATGTTAAACTTATGTAAACCGAGATTTTTTTTTCTTGAAATTTATGAATCTCGAGAAGACTAAATCTAGATTATTTTTTCTTTTTTTTTTCTTTGTTTTTTTATGATGATTTTAGCAATGCTTTAAAACCTATCAACAGATCAATAGTTCAACCATGGATCATTTGGTCAATAGCAAAACAAGATAATTTAAGTTTTAACATATTATGTGTTTAGATTTTTATTAAATGTATGCAAAGTAATAGAAAAATCATTTAGGCACTTTTTTGTTGCCTATATTGAGCTGGATATGAACACATTGTTATAATATTTTGTTTCCCCCGTTAATAAATTACTATTTTAACCCCATATAAGATGGAACCGTGAACAATTTTTCTTTCATTCTCTTCTCATCTGGACGGGGCCGTGAATCAAAGAGGGCAAGAAAACACTAGCAACCTTTCTTGATTAAATATTAATTATCAGCCTCATTACCGGTTATTTCTTGGAAGCATATTGCAAAAGTGGTTATAACATATACATAGCAGCAATGTCTGCCTACACCCACAAATGCGACAGCTCCACGTTGGAGAACAGGCTGCAGGCGGCGGCGCTGGTCACTGAGCAGGTGCAAGTGAGAAGCGGCGGGATTGGAACACGTTCGACATTTGTTTCCGTCGATTTACTTGTTTTAGACGATGCAGATTTTAGGGTAAATTAAGAAAATGCAATATTTTTAGAGGGGCAAAAAGAGCAACATTTCGGGGTGGTAAATTAGAAAAATGCAATGTTTTAGATGGGTAAAAAGGACTACTCCCCCATATCTAAAATCTGATCTTCCGTCGGCGCGATTCCTATGGTCACCGGGCCATTCTGGCCAAGTCGCGGCTGGGTGCTTTCTTGCGTCTAGGAGTGCTGCGGGTGGTTGGCCAGCGGCGATTTTCTCTCCTCGGTTTATCCCCCGCTTCCAGCGAGGTCGTCGGCTACTCTTACAAGGCACAACCGTGGGAGTTCGTCGGTTCGTTTGGAGGCTCGATCTGTGCGGCCATGTTCTTCCTGGAGACTGACTTTGGCTTCCCGTGGTTCTGTGTGCCCCTGTTCAGCCGGGATGCAGGTCTCTCAGGCCGGGCGGCTCGGTTGCAGGTTGTCGTCTCCTTGATCTCTCCCTTCTAGTCCTCAGGTGGGTTCGTGATGGTTCTCCTTCTTTTCCCCGGCGGTGAAGGTCTTCGGGGCTCAGATCTGGGCCGAAAATTTGTCTAGGCAATAGAGTGACCACAGTTTTCGGGTTTGGAGCCTAGTTTTCTTGCTCGGTGGGTTTTCTTTGTTGGGGTGTGACTTGGTAGACTGTTCAAGTGGTGTTGGGTTTCAACTATTAGGTTTAGGAGAAATTGTGCAAGTGGTGTTGGGTTTCAACTATTAGGTTTAGGAGAAATTTTACTTTATTTTGTTGTTTATTATGGGTGTGTTGCTTTTGGTCTTTATTTTGTTGTTTTGTTTCGTTTTGTCAGCTCTGTCTGCTTTTAGTGCAGTTGTGTTTGCTTTTATCTCCTATATGGAATTAGTGTCTCTTTTTTAGAGTTTTGTTTTGTGGTTGTTCGCCTCCTTGATGAAGTTTGTACCTCCTTGTGTGTGTTGACAAGGGGGGTTGGCCAAGTCTTATGGTTTCAGTGTGTCACTTGACACTTCTGTTGTACTCTTTTGAGGTTTTAAGTTATTAATATAATTGTTTACCTTGATTCGCCTTCAGAGCTGACTTCCTTGACCTTTATTTGAGGGTCGATGTAATTGAGCGGGTGTTTGGGAAAAAAAATTAAGGACTATCTATTATGAGTTAAAGTGAATTGCTATACACCCCCTCCCCTCCTCCCCCCCCTCCTTTTTACCTATCGTCCCTCATTGAATCGTTTTGTCCCTGATATTCTAAAAAAAAAAAAAAACGTGCGGCCAGTTGGCCGACGATTGTGGCCGACCGCCACCATGCGTTGTCAGTTTGGCCGGCTGACTGCGCGGTTTTTTTTTTTTTTTATTTTTACTTTTTGTGGAAAATGTAAGGCGCAAAACTGTTCAAAGGGAGCGGTACATAGTAATAAGGGGAGAGGTGAATAGTAACACCAGGGCCGGCCTTGCGACAGGGCCAGCGGGGCGACCGCCCAAGGCCCACCTAGGGCCCACAAATTTTTGGTGCACCAAAGTAATTATTCTTATGGTTATTATGTTTGGGCCTTAAAATAAAATGAGACCTTAAAATGTCGTATGAATAATCACTACACATGGTTATTATGTTTGGGCTTTTTATTTTAGTATTTTACTAATAACCAACTACTTTAAGCTATGTTAATTGGTATTTTACAATTTTGTTATGAGCTTGTATAAGTATGAGGTTTGTACATGAATTGTCTAGCCTAGCCCGCTAAAGACTTGTTTCAAACAGTTGTATCCAACTTTTGTATTAATTTTTTAAAAAAATTAATTGATTGTGCCAAATTTATTTATCAGTTGACTTACTAAATTACATGTTGAGTGTTGACAAAAATATAAGTTATTTAATTTTAATTATGTTATTCTCTTTTTCCTCCTATTTGCCATATTTTTTCTCTTATAATGTATTATTCTATTTCAATGTCTAATAAAAAGGAATAACAAATTCCTATTATGAGTTATTTACATACATTTAATTATTAGTTATTATTAGTAAATAATTTATTTTTCTCTTACATTTATTATAATTGTTATATTTTCATTATATATATATATATAAAGAGAAAGTATTTACAAAAAATAGTAACAAAAATAGACGGGAACATTTGTTGTATCTTTATTTGAAAACTCTATTCAAACACAATATTGTACTATTATAGTCACCAAGTTCGTTTCTAGAAATTTGAGGAAATGAATCCTCGACGCACTTCACTAATTATTTTTGTGGAAAACCAATTTAATTGATAGAAAAAAAAAAAAAAAAGGATATTGGGGCCAGCACTTGTAACCTTTTTTTTAATAAAATTTTATATATAATCTTCATTCTTCAGTATTTTTATATAATCTGATAAATTATTTATGAATTATAAAATAATATGGGCCACTATTTATCATTTAGCCTAGGACCCTCTAATTTTTCAGGAACGGAGTAACACCGTATGTTAAATGAACATGTTAATGGGCTAACGAAGCTACTATTTATCATTTAGCCTAGGACCCTCTAATTTTTCAGGAACGGAGTACCACCCTAAGTTAAATGAACATGTTAATGGGCTAACGGAATGAATATCCATACGCATGAAAAGTAAACAAAATAATTAATGGATTGTAGTATGTCAATGCATTTCAAGATGATAGTGTATGAGGTCCAATAATAATGCTTGAAACAAACGGGCACATAGTGTAAGTTATAATTTTTGTCCATCGTTGGAAAAGTTCTCCAGTATATGATTGATGTGGATTTTTTTTTTTTTTTTTT